AATAGTGAAAGAAAAAGACCAGAACACAGCGAGAGATCATGCATTTATCTGGATATCTTGTTGTTATCATTGCGCCAGAAAAAGGGAGGGGGCAGGGATATCTTATCCACGCGATTAACGAGTTTTGTATTCAATGTTTAGGAAAAGAAGAAATAGCTAAGAGAAATGGAAATAAAAGAGGTAAACTGCAAAGATCATTATCACTTTCAGAAATATATTTATTTACGTTACATTACTATCAAGTACAATTTCATCTGATTCACCAATCCTTCTGAAACGTTTCCATTTCAATCATTCACAAGTTCGTAGTTTAGTTCGTATTGCGTACTTTTCAAGTTGTCTCCTTTCTGAAGATAACTTCTGATTACTAGTCGCATGCGATATATCATTATATAGACATTTACATAGACGCTATACGCTTTCAGCCAGCTTCCTGTGCTATATAGCTATAGGCGTGAGCCTGGGAGCGGTAGTATAATTGAAAAAGTATTTAGTGTAAATTCATCTTTCGTTTTCGTCGCTTCTAAATCGTGAAAAAAAGACTAAAACATTTACACACAATACTTATCAATAAAAAAGCCGCACCAAAGCAAATTTAAAAATATCAGTATGTATGCGGTAATCTTTACCGAGGCGAGAACCAGCATGATGCCATAAGCCATGCATGCAGACAAATTTTGGCCTCGACTTTAACGACAATTTACAGCGGCTTCTCCGGTTGTGCATGGGGGTCTCCATGCTTTAAAAATTCCCCAAATTTCGCATTTAATTCAGTTTTGCATTTAATTAAATTATTTGAGCATAAACTTTTACTCATTAAACATCTTTTACTCATTTATAAGTATATCGAAAAAAAGTAGTACTTTGATAATATTCTAACAATAATATTCTGACTGGACAGGATATTTTAAAAGATATAGCGATGCAATATGTAAGCACGGCGTTTTTTTACATTACTGACTGTAATCTACGTTTAAAGTTTGTCTATTTTTATGATCATGAATGCTTTCATTTCGTGGGTGACAAATTGCATGGCACTGAACAGTTGTATTCTATTTTGTTCTAGACTGTAAAAAAGATATCCTTGTTCTCTGGGACATTTCGAATTATGTTAACTCTGCGTACATCGCTGATGTGAAAGAGTTTCTGAAGAAATTTATCAAAAGTGAAAAGCTGCGCGTGGAAGAACAAGGCACTCATCTTGGTTTCGCTTCCTTCTCAAGCGACAACCGAACTAGAGAATTATTGGAGGTTGGCAAAATTAAGAACAAAACATTGTTGATGCAGTGGCTGGATAGAATTGACTTTGAAAATAATCCGAGCGGCAATACGGCGTTCAAAAGTATGGCAAAAAATGTAAGTAGGCCTAAACTGTTTTACCAATGTAACATTTATACAAGGGTGTTTTTAATCTTTGCTCATATTCGATCGTGTTATCGAGAAAAGTTGTTAAACCGTGATATTACAAAGGACTCCACAATTACCAGGTGAGGTCGGCACGTTAATACTGTAAAGCGTAAACAACCTAGATAAACCTACCCCAGTCTATGATAGTATGAATAGCAAATAATTAGGTTATTTATTTGTAATTTATGTAACCAGCTGATCTGAGAAAGAAAATTAGCCAATAAGAAGCCAGAACCTCAAAAAAAATCAGATATCATTTCATATAATATAACCAGGCTTCCAAAATGGATGGGAATTTCCTTGCAATTGACAACCACAAGGAAGGGAGGGATCTGTGTTAATAGGATATGTTATGCATTATTTTCAAAAGTTCTTTGTTTCTCTTTTTTGTCTTTGCTCAGGACAGCCATATGCAAATAAGTTGTGAAAACCCTGATGATAACTCACTTTTTGCCGTGACGTCCTTTGACGTCATCATTTCAGAGTAGCTGGCTGAGAATATACACAGAACAACCCTAACTGCGTGAAACATTCAATGTCATGTGCCCGTTGGCACAAATATATAATCATTTACTCAATTACTACGTACTTTTAAACAATCAAATGATCATACAAGTTTACTATTCAATTTTTTCATAGCCGTTTAACAAGACAAGTCCTAAAAACTTCCGTCCGGACGTAGAAGACGTTATTTTGTTGCTAACCAGCAGCGCACACGAATCTGCCGAAAATCAAACGAGGCTTGTCGATGAATATACCACAATATTTAGAAAGAAGAATTTCACTATTGTCTGCTTGGCTGTCGGAAATGAGGTCAAAAAGTTGAAATTATATATTAAGGGCTGGTCGTCACCAGAGCGAATATTCGAATTAAGGTTAGACGAGTTGGACAAAGTTGTGAATGAAACAGTTGATGCTTCCTGCACTTTACATGGTAAGTGTATGTGTGTCAAGAGGTAAAGCTGATAAGACACATTAGGCAAGCATTCCACTTCTATTCTATTTCAAGCCACCCTATCCCATTCTATCCCATCCCATCTCATTTCAACCCTCCCCTATCCCATATCATCCCATTCCATCCCATCTAATTCCCTTTGCTTCCCTTCTATTCCATTCCATTCCATTTCATTCTATTGTATTCGACTATACTACAGGGTGTCCCAAAAAAAAAGCAACCACTTAAATATGCAGAACATTAATACAGCTCTAAAGCGCAATAGATAAGCACCTCTGGGAATTGAAAATGGCTCTTAATCCTTTATTTACAATGCTAAAAGTCATTTTAGCTGAACTATGGTGCAAACCCGAACAATATTAATATTCTTGCATATTTAAGTGGTTGCCTTTTTTTTGGGACACCCTGTATATAATCATAATCAGGAATGAATTTTTGGTTAATATTCCAATAAATGTAAAAAATGCAATGTTTTCATCAACTGGAAAACTACGAACGCTGATGCACTTGCATCGTGCAAAGATAAAACTCATTTAAAATATCATTTATTATTTTTTTTAATAATTTCGCGCAAATACATATAACAATACCAAAGTAGAATTAAACATTTGCAAAATTAGGGCTAGGAAACCAGAAACCAAGTTATAGTTCAATTATTTCCTAATTTTCATGCCCTGGTTAAATTGGAATAATGGAACGCTGTTTACACACACGAATCGAAGACAAGAGATAGAAAATCTGTAATATTTAACCACATTATATCACGTGATAACTCCAACATAATTAAAACACTCTACGAACTGTAACCTAAAGATATACTGTTATTTTCAGGGAGTTATTTTAACACCCCCAAATTTCATTTTTCGGGGTGTTAAATTTTGGTGCTATTTTGACACCACTTTTAGAGTTATATTAACTCCTCGGTGGAGTAACGAGGTCTTCGAACGTTGATTAGTATGCAAAAATAATCCCATCTAGAGGGGTTAGAGAAATTAACTCCATTTTAGGAGTTAAATTCCTCTCATTATATATTCATAATGGAGATTTGAAAACAAGGAGTGAAGATTGGTGATGCACATCGCGTTAATGATAATTTTTATTGAAATTGAACAAAATCTTGTATTGAAATCATTTACTACATCAGAATACGTGATGAAAAGATTGCCTCGGATAGTTCTGGTAAGTTTATAACGATAAATGTCATAGAATCAATCATTAAATAGCGAAATACATGGTCGATCGGCTGGAGTAAAGCATTGACAACCGATCGTTATACATCGTATAGCGCATTATTACATAAGGTATTCAGCGCATTAAAATATCATACTTACGGTCTTGTAGTTCTAGCCTGGAAGGCCTTAATTGAAGTTTTTTCGAAATCAAATTTTCAAACAAACTATATAAAAGAGCTCATTTGATATATTTATGGAAATGCGAATTCCCCAGGTTTATATTTTTGGTACTTTAAAACATGATTTATTCATGAATTATTCAATAAAACTATTTTTAACCTCTTTATGTGCAAGAAATCCAAGCATGCTTGTTTATTTCAGTTTATAATAAATCAAATAATAAAAATTTTCCTGTTTTTTGTTAATTATTTTGCAATGAATCTTCTTTATTTTTATATTCAGGATCACCTTAAAATAACCAGGTAATATGGGACATTGTAATATCCATTCCTGGTTCTTTTTAATAATTGTCTGAAAGGTGGTCAATATTTGAGTGTAATGCTCAAATGCACATTAGCTATTTACACAACCAAGAAGTGCTATAAACATTTGATTGGTGCATTTTTGGATAACATATATATGTGAGAGTTAAGTGGCATTTAAAAGCTTGGTGATTTGCAGTCTTCCATATCAAATGTGGTCTTTTATGCTACAAAATTTTAAGTAATACATCTCTCAAAACTGACCCTTAAACATGTTATATATGATTATGAAGCTATATATATTCATAAGGCTATAAATACAATTTTTTGAAAAAACTATTTTGTGTTAATATTATCTGTCAAAGAACCATGCATTGAACAGTGCAGATCATGTGAATCAAGCATTAAACTGTGCAGATAATTTAGAGCTATAATTATACACAATATGTATTGCAAGGCAGGTTTTAATCAGAAATCAATTTTAAAAAATTTGACCTTTTGAATTAATATTCTTGAGGGCTCATGAAAGTTAAATTTTCATGTATGAAAAATAATTAATTTATATGTCTTTTCCATTGTCCCACTTGGAGACCTCAATAACATTTATACAAAATCACCAACAACATCAAATCATAGATTAATTAAACTGAAGAAATAAGTGTTTGTTAGGTACCACAGAATATGTTCATAAATTAATAAAGCAAAAAACATTACTGATAGTATCCTAACATTAACTTTCATTTTAAATTTTGACAGTTGATTTTAAAATCAAGACAAACTGAGTCAACTAATCAAGAAAAAGAAAACCTCATGATGTGGGTTGAATTGCCAGGGACACCTATGCTAAGACTTCAGGTCTTTATACAGCTCAGTGGCCGGGTCTTTCTTGGCGAAATATTTGCAAAGTACACACGAAGCCCTCGCTTGCTCCGTAAAAGTTCTCTTTCTCGGTACTTTTCATTCGAAAATTGTAAACTTAGTAGAGACTTGCGATTTTGGATGCGAAAAGCTGGATTTGGCGACTAGTGCGAGCTATTTTAAGGTAAATATTTGAAGTTTTTCTTGCATTTAGTCTTCCCGCCTTTTTATTGTGTTAACTTGGCCTGCAAAAACAGACAAATTTATTGCAAGATTCTTATAGTTTGATTCTAAAATGTTTTTCAAATAGTTGTTTCTATAATTTTTGATGCTGGTCGATTTATTTTTTCTGTGGGGCTGTTGCCAAAAGAGTTTTTCAGTCGCAAAACTGACGGCGAAGTATTTTTTTGTTTCTGATCAGCATGAATACATGATATCGCGAGCCTCCGATATTTACCTTAAAGTTCCTGGGATATTTTAATAGTCTATAACAATTCGAATTCGTATCTTTAGAAGCAGTAGAAGGACAGAAGTCCACAATGCCCGGTAGAGGGTAGAAGAAGCAATGCCAATGGGAAACTCAAACACAAATTTCAATACAAGAAAGCCCTAACCAGGCCCTAACCTAGCGAAACGATGTTGAAAACAACCCCAAAATAACTGTTCAATTCTCAATGGACGAAGCAACTTACCATGATGCAGTAAATCTAGGTATGTGGAATTTTTTTCCTATTCTTTTTATATTAGCTAAGCCTAAGTTACTTGAAATTATTCCTTCCTTATACTCACATGTTTCTGCTTATTTGTTTGAGTATGTTTGCATTGTGGATCACATAGAACATATAGATTTTGAAGGTCTGTTGAACAATGTGCTCTGTTATATGCATACAAAGCACACTACTCGAATTTACACTCATATACATGCAATTTTTCTATTTGTTCGTAGATTGAAGACTCGTTTCGTGCAATTGGCACAACAGGAAACCTCCGAAAATTTTACTACGAGGAAAATTGTAAAAGAAGAAACGTGGATCAGTATTGCTTATACAGCCAGGTCATCATCTTGGTAGAGTGAGTCTTAGCTTAGTAGAACTCTAGTAGAACTGAACAACCAGTGTCTTAATGACTATACCATTATGTTTTAGGCATGCATGGTACTCCACTTAAAAACATTTTCTAAATTTTTTGCAAATGTGCATGTGTGTTAAAGTGTAAATAAAAAGTATTAAAGAGCTATACAATAGAAGCAATTCCTTTAATGCGTAGTTGACTTGCTGTACTCAAACAGAAATGTAATTGATCTCATGTATTCAATATTATAATAATATAATAACGATATTTGTGCTGCATTGTTTGTTGACTCGATCGGTATTATAGGTAGAAATCTTCGATGGAACGGAATATTTCGCTCAATTTATTTATCTTTTCAAATGTGAAATTAAACCGAGCCAGATTTACTGGATAGATCACAATTGAAAAGAAAATCAAGCGAAAAATTTCCTTCGATCGAAGTAATTTACCTATATAGTAGAAAACCGGCCTAACACCTAAAACGGTGTTAAATGTGTTTAACTCCAAAAATGGGGTTATGTTTTAAGTCCAGAATTGGAGTTAAATTAACTCCAAAAGCGGTGTTAAATTATAACACCAGAAGTGGAGTTATTTGTTACTCCAAAAAGCTACTCATTTTGAACCTTTTTTTTTGACCCCTTTTTTGGTGTTAAAATAACTCCCTAATAATAACTACACATCTACAACGTGTAATATTATACTGATCTTGTGTTTTTAAAATAATATTAAAATAATTTAGGGATCTTATCATTAGTCACTGCTGCTGTTTAATGAATCTCTTGCCATACACCGCCTAAAACATGAACGGCTTAAGACCATGCGGCACAAAGCTAAATAACGCGCTAAGCTGTGCTTAAGGTGTGCTGCGAAATGAGAAAAACACACCTTGGGGTGCTAGATAACGCACCTTGTTGTTCCCAGTTGCCCGCTGCCTTGTGGTAGATATTGATAGTCTTTCCAGTTATCAAAAAAAATTGATGCAAATGCTGTCCTCTCTTTCGCGACTCTGCATGTTCAGCAAATTTAGAGTAAACACGTGCACTTATACATCTTTTTGACTTGAAGGTGGATGTGAATGCAGAGATGGCGGTAACTATGAGTTTACAGCATATGCTAAACCTAATGAAATCAAAGGGCTGGTCCATTGGTCAGTACCAGAAGTCACGTGCTCTGATTATCAGAGAGGCCAAGTTCATCCACCTGACGTCAGGTCTCCTGCAAATTTCTCCTTGGGCAAGCACGTGATCACCTATCCCTACTCGTACAAACGCAATAACAAGACTATAGAGTTCAAATGTTTTGTTAACTTCACTGTTGTCGGTAAGTAATTGTTGCCCCAGGTCCGCAAATTCGCAATTGAGCCGCTCCTTGACCGATAAATTTTCGTTAATCACTGGCAAACCTTATGAAGATTAATCCGCTATCGACCACACAATTTTCGTAAAGTTTAGTCGCAATTTTAATCCCCAAACATCACGTAAAACTACGTAATGTAATGAAAAACATGAATATATATAAGCTAAATATTACATCAAGGAAATAATAATACGTTGTTTCAATACGTTGCTTGGGGCAAATAAACTACAGTGCTGAAAAATCCTTTTACAGTTCGCAAAAGCGTCTCGTTCAATCTCCGATTTACAAAAAACGAATTAAAACTCGAACCCGCAGGTCGCTGGTAATTAAGCCAGCAGTTATAGTAATGATTTCAGTACTTTAATATTTCGTATATACTTGCGAGGTTTTCGAAATCCTTATTGTACTTTTGTTAGTCTTTTTCTTCGTAAATTAAGGCACTAGAATAAACTTAAAAATTCCCAACCGTTTATTTTGCAATTTAGCTTGTGATTGCCCATGCACACAAACAGTAAATTCTGAAGTTGAAGAAGGCCGGGATGAGAAAATCTTAGTCAGTTGGACAGAACCTAAGCCTACATGCCCAACCACACCAAATCCTGCCAATCCGAAACTTACTAACTTGTTTTCTATTGGTAACTACACGCGGTACTACAATTACACGTATAGCAACAAGCATCAAACATTTGGTATCCAATGTCATGTAAGAATTGGTGTCACAGGTATGCTCTTCGCTCATACAACAGTCCCAATCGTTTTACATTACTTGATGACAACTTGTACTGAATGCTATAGTGCATAACTTGTATTCAAATTTCAAATGGCCATTATATATAGCCAGTCCAAGGAAAATTGAATCATATAAACCTTAAACGGCTAAACGTAAAATCCGAAATACAAGTGTGCAAAGTATGCAAGTGCTAAGCTTTAATTATTTTGAACGGTGTAGGTATAATAGAACTCGAATTGAATTTTTCACTAAGAGACAAGCATTAAAAAGCAATAAAAACCTACGGGCCTGAGAAAGGAAATCAGAAATTTTCGTGATATCAGTCTCACTTTACTATTAATATCACTATTCAAAGCACCAACTTATCTTCATATTCCAGCTTATAAAACGCTGAGGTTACAAGGATCTTTAAGTAAAAACGGAAAAGGACGTGTTGAAGTGTTCTTCAATGGACAATGGGGAACAATCTGTGATGATGGATGGGATTTCAAAGACGCTAGAGTTGTTTGTCGTCAACTTGGTTATCAAGATGCTGTTAGAGCTCTTGAAAGAGGTCAGGTTCCTCATGGTTCTGGACGAATATGGTTACGCGACGTGGGATGCAAAGGAATGGAGCAAAATTTGATAAGTTGTTCTCATAGAGGATGGGGAGAACATGATTGCAGTCATGACGAAGACGCTGGAGTAGATTGTGTTTCAACAGGTAAAGATACAAAAAATAAACATGTTAAGGTGGCTCCCTGAGCATATATCTAAAAGCATCCGTTAACTCGGACTTTATCAAACTTTATCTGTGTAATAGACCAATTGCGAAACTTAGTAACCGCGCCTTCGTGCAACATGGAAACGAGGCTTATTATGCAAAAAACAATATTTGTATTTTTTACAGTACAAAGCTATTCGCCGAGTTATATGCCGTTTTTCGCCTTTGTTTTACATATTTTTCGATAACTTTCAGCTTGGTCTCATCGTTGTTATCATAGTTTTCAGGTTAGGAAGTTTTGCCTTTCAATTGAGGCGTTTTTGTGGTGTTTTCATTAATCTTTTCGGCTGCTTTCGTCGGGGAAGTATGGAAAAGGCCGACACAAACTCAGGTAAAAATTTAGTTTTTCCAAACTATTTCGTCTCAAGTTTTGAAAATGTAATTCATTTCTCTCCCCCTTATTTGTGCAAAATTTGGCGATATATATTTGCTGCAAAATCTATGTTTTTTATGTCAAAAATTATTGAAAAGTCACGATCGAACAAACCACCATGTTCACATTTCTCATCTAAAATTTTTTTATACCAATTTTATCGATCGATAAGAGGTAATTTGACAGCAATTTTACAGCTCAGCAAAAAAAGTAGTAGAAATCTGTTGACAAAAACTATAAAAGATAAAATAAGCAACGGAGTTTTATGTTTATTTTCTTTGTGTATATAAACTACAGTACATGTGATGTGATGCCGACTGAAAAGCAAAACAACTCTTCAACTTGGCACACATGCATGACATGGATAGTAAAATACTTATAACCAAGACATAATATCATTGTCTATTTTGAATTGCCATTTGAATATTCATTTTCCGGCAATAACATACTATAAAGGTAGCCACAATGCGAGCTGCAGCGTTTTTTAAGTTACACCTTTACATGATGGCAAAACCGAAAGCGAAAAATATTTAAACCGGAGTTCGCAAGTGTTTTTCCGTTTATGATGGTGAACGGAATCCTTTCCTTTTCAAGTATTCCTGGTTCACCCTTATTAAACATCTATTGCATGGTAGTAGATAGAAAGAATAGTGTTTTGTACTAACAAAAATGCAGAATTCAGATGCAAACTCAGATGCATTCGAATTCGACTTTTATAAAATTCGGCCTTCAGGCCGGCATGCAAGCTATGCATCGTCTGTACTTTATTAAAACGAAAATAAACAAAAACATTTCAGTCAATTACTTTTGACCATTTTAACAGTATTACTGTGGTATAAAGAAAAAAAAATACAGTAATATTTGTGAATAAATTTGAATAAATGAAGCCATTTCAGTCATCAGGTTTGAAAATTATACAATCTGACTGTCACTTTTCAATAATTTTTGACATAAAAAAACATAGATTTTGCAGCAAATATATATCGCCAAATTTTGCACAAACAAGAGGGAGAAAAATGAATTACATTTTCAAAACTTGAGACGAAATAGTTTGGAAAAACTAAATTTTTACCTGAGTTTGTGTCGGCCTTTTCCATACTTCCCCGACGAAAGCAGCCGAAAAGACCACAAAAACGCCTCAATTGAAAGGCAGAACTTCCTAACCTGAAAACTATGATAACAACGATGAGACCAAGCTGAAAGTTATCGAAAAATATGTAAAACAAAGGCGAAAAACGGCATATAACTCGGCGAATAGCTTTGTACTGTAAAAAATACAAATATTGTTTTTTGCATAATAAGCCTCGTTTCCATGTTGCACGAAGGCGCGGTTACTAAGTTTCGCAATTGGTCTACGCAAAATACGATTCAATGACTATGATTTCTATTTTAATCAAACATTTTGTATGAAGTTTGCCTTGTATTATATACAATTTCTGGTATTACAATTTTACAATTAATTTTATTAGCGATAATAGAAAGTCTAAACCGTGGTTAATCTAGGTCAGACCGAGGTCCAACCGCGATTAGCCCGATGTTGAACCTCGGTCGAATACGGTCTGACAGACATTTTCTTAAGATATTTTGGACTTGATTATTGTATTGTCGTTTCAGCAGTTCATAATCATGATTCCGTTCGAAAGCGAACGGCAATTGCGATCGTATGTTTTCCGTTGCGGTCTTCTGATGGGGTTTCTTTAGGCCAACCGCAACCGAACCGCAACGCAGTGTTAGGTTATCTCTGGACAGTACTGCAATACCGGGCTTTAAAACTTTTTTGCTCTCACGCATTGTCGCAAGCTCGCCTTTGGCGTCTCATCTTTTGTTAACAGAAGCCTGAACCCTTGCAGTCACGTAGTGAGTTTGGTTACCCTCTCTTATAGGAAGAAAAAATACAGTTTTTATGTCGAATGCAATTAAAAACATATAAAAGAAAACTTTTTTCGGAAACCTCGCATGCATG